TCGAAATACTTTTTTGTTTGCGAAACGAACATTTTCTCCACAAACTCAGATCGCGCGTGTGCAAAATGCACTTTTGTACGCTCAAAATAAGTGTGTTGGCCTTCTTGCATTATTATGCTTTTATATTATGATTATATATTCAGTGGCATAAAATGGTCTTAAAATGACAATAATATTGTTTATCGCAATTATTTCTGGGGCAATATATCGCGCAACAAAAAGTTGTTATTGTGACAGGCCTAAATGTGAGATGAAAAGGGGAATATTAATATTTATTCATGTTTAAAATGTGGCAATATTGCCACAAATGGTGGTAGAACATTAATCATTAAAGTAATAGTATAGGAAAGTGGAATATTGAGGAAAGCCAAGAGAATTCCTTACAAACTCTGCTGCTATCTGGGCTGTCTCTAAGATGTGTTCTACTGTAGTTGACAATGTCATTTTTTTTTTTATAAAAGGCTGGAAGGTAAATCCATGTGAGTAAAAAAATAAAAATAAAAATCCCCATGCTGATGCAGGTGTTTTATGTCTAATGTCAACATAAGCCTACAGGTGCTATTCCCAAAAGTCCAAAAATGGACTCAGAGGAAATCTGGCATCATAAACATTTCCAGATTTATGTATTGTGTTAAACAGCATTCTGTGGTGAAAATTATGTAGCCTACTGGAAATTACATTTTAAATATTTTTGTTAAATGGCCTACTTTGTCTTGTTAAGGCTAATTGCACACAATGAAATATTTACACACTTTTTGCGTAATTGAGAAATTTTGCCAATAAAAAGTAAAATGTAGGCTACCTTGATTTTTATTTGCTTTTCTGTATGTCACACATTCTCATTGCTTATACTAACTTTTGAAGAATAAAAAAGAAAAAAATAAAATTAATTAAATAAATAAATATTTCAATATATCCCCTCGAGCTGTTTGTGTTTTAAACTGAGGAGAAAGACGTAAAACAGTCACCATGCCTGCCAAAACAAAGTACAATTTAGTCGATGATGGACACGATTTGCGGATTCCTTTACATAACGAGGAAGCATACCAACATGGGATTAATTTCGAAGCAAAGGTAGGCTAATTTTCTTTTGACATAAAGACATGTTTTTCAGCAGCATGTTTTGTTTACATCCTGCTGCAAATCCTGTTTTCAGTCCCAGGAAACATTGAAAGTTGTTGTGCCACTGTTGTTGCCACTTGTTTACATTCCATATTGTCAATTTAATTGAGCGCGTGAATTCTGATACCACATTTAGTTTCACTTAAGCCCAACGTGTTGACAGGAGATCTAATACATTTCATCTTGTTGGCTTTTCCAGTATATCGGTAGTCTGGATGTGGCTCGACCCAACAGCCGTGTGGAGATTGTTGCGGCCATGAGTTTATTTTTACAGCTTCCTAAAGTCGAGTTAGCTCACAAAGTTTACAAATGTCAGTTTTTAGATGTGTAGAACTGTCTTGGCATTATATATAGCGCCACGACGTGACTCAGCCTCTGTTCCGCACGGGTGGTCTTTATGCCTCGAGCAACAATCAAAAGACAAAAGCAGGACAGATCAATGGGCAAATTACTTGCAAAATGAAAGGGTGGGATATTGATATCCCTGTCAAAGTTGCTTTGATACACATACACCGGTCCTGTAAGATACGTCGCCTTTGGCAACCACAGCGTAACCTTATGTGGATTTTCATGTGTGTAAACAGAGAAGAGCTCTTTGAAGTGGGGGTCTTCTGTGTAAAGCACTTAAAGGGCCAGATATGGCGCCCACCAGTCATGCGCGATGAGAATACACTGGCTTCCTGTGTAGCTAGAACCCCTTGATACAGATATCCTACATGTTTTGCTGTCATTTTTTGTGTTTAAATGCATTTCCTTGTTGGTAGATTGATTAGTTAATTTAAAGTCCTCATATGTACATGTAGAAAGCTACATAATGAATCAAAGGGCTCCTATGTTTGTATGTACCCAGAGCTCTTGGAAACCACAACAAATTCCTTGTGTGTTTGTGCACACTTGGCGAATAAAGCTCATTCTGATTCAGATTCTATTTAGTGTTTACTGCTCCCTAGGGGATATCTATAAAAGTTCACTTTAGGAGGCACATTTTGTACATCATCCCATTTGAAAGCTTAAAATAGTTTTCCTATTTCAATTAATGACCCTAATGTCCTCAAGAGTGTGATATATCGTATTCAAAGTGTGTTTTATTCTCCTTCCATTTACAAAAATAAAGGAAAATAGTATTGATAATATTGATAACTTTTCATTCATACCACTGAGGTTTTATGAGTCTTAAGTGTGATCTTCAAACCAGCCTGTTGTTGTCAGTTAGCTGTATTCATGATTGGTTCTCAAACATTCACTTTATTGCTGGCAGAGAGAGTTGTTTTACCTGTAGATATCTACTTCCTTTTCCTGGTAAATTTTGCATTGTGTGGCCTGGCTATTGCTATTACAGTGAAACTTATTTCAGGGAAGTGAGATGTAAGAGGTGGTTTGAATGTAACAATTGAAAGGCTTTTTTTCCCCCTCCCAACATCCTGGTTTCCAGCATGGAAGCAAGCACCAGGTGCAAATGAGCCTATTAACCTTTTCAGTGTGCTGGACCTCCTGCTATGGTATGCTGGCTAATGGGCACCCACATGCTTTTAAAGCATAGAATTGTTGTGTGTTAAAGCTCAAACACAAAAGTTACACAAAACCAATCATGCTGTAGTGACTAAGCAGTTTTAAGTTCAAGTAGTGACGGCATTGTTTGAACTTAACTTGTTTGAGCTTGTAGTAGACTGCCCTACAAAGACAACATACATACAATAACTATGACAACACTGAAACTGTTTTTTTTTTCTTTCATATATTTCACATATTTTTTTTTTTCTATAAACCAAACCTATCCTTCACTGGACAGATTTTGTCAGAACTATTGATTAATAACTTGTGCCTCCTCAGATTTCCGAGCCAAGTGCATTTTGAATGCAGCTTCCAAAAGACAAAAATAGCGGAATAATATTTTTTTATATTTGATACAATCGCACCGGTGTGATTAGATCGTTCAGTGCGGCACAGCATCAGCTCCTAAATTTAAATCTGCGTTCGCTGGCTGACGCTGAGCCAGAGACAGATGGGTTTGTACAGCGCTGCATTATAACCAATCACACACGATTCTGTTGAGCTTATGAATGCAATGACCAATCAGAGATGTTCAGATGAGTCATTGCTGAAACAGTGTTTTGCTCTCATCAGAAACAACAAAGTGCAGATGTGCGTACGAATGTAAGTAAGATATTCATTTCACAGTGTAAACAGCTTCAGTGATTTTAATGGGAGTTTTTGAGAGTGCCTCTGGCTAGACTGAATGAAAATGTTCTTTGATAATGTAAATGTTCTTTGCTCTCTGTAAAATGAAAGTGTTATAATTAGTAACTTACAATATTGTTATTAAATTCACATTAAATACAAAGTCAGTCGTATTAAAAATATTTTATGGCATGACACCCATATCTGGTACTTAAGTAAAAAGTCGGGTTTTTATGTGTAGTTAATAGATTACACTATTAGTCTTTGCCCATCACCA